TAAAGCCATTATATGCAAAGCACATTTACCATGCCCTCCCAGTACATCCACACATTTACCTCTTAAAAAAGTATACACCTAGTAATACATTTATGGCCCAGGCTCACTGGCCTGATGTCGCTACTTTGCTGAGCAATGATTACCACTAATGCATTAATTAACAACAAAAACCTAAATCCACCTTGTACTGTTAACATTAACTCCTGTAGGCATTTCTGATTCAAAGACACTGCCAAATCTATGATTTATGAAAGCCTAGCTATGTAGAAAAGTTAAAATTATGCTTAAAAATTGTGACAGCAAATGCCCCATCCTGGCAAGGATTCAATGACATTTGCTTACCATCCAGTTCTTTATGTCTAACAATGATTTTTGGGAAGGACAGCACTTTCCCCCCCCGGAAGGACCGCACTCCCCCCCCCCCCCCCCCCCGCCCCCAAAGAAGCTAGAGATCCTCAATCTGTTTCCTCACTGAAAATGAGATTAAGAAGAAACTTTCATGAAGGCATCTATGCATAGGCAACATCATCTGGTACTTTTATAGTTGTTTAATATAGCTGCATAATGAGAGTCAACAGCTGAAAGTTTAATTCAGTCAAGTTGGAAATAGAAATAAGATGCAGTTTGCTTTTTTCTCCTCTCTAATAAACAGTGTTATTAGCCCATTTCCCAGCTTTATGGAGAATTATTTATGACTTGGAGTCTTAAAGCCACATACAAATTAAGAGATGAAGGGGTGTGGGAGGTTGCTTCACTATTGAAAAGTTCTTGCCTAATCATAAATTATTGAGGTAGAAACAGGAAATACTGCTGCAATTCTCCAGGCAGTGCTACACAGGATGTAGCACATTTGATTGGATTATCACAGCAGCATCTCTGTGAGGTTTAAAAAACCCAAACAGCTATTGATCTTCAGAAACACACTGGGAGAGAAAGGCATGTGACACTGCTGTTTATTCATATATACTCTGAATACCTCAGGCCATTGGTACAAACCCAGAACACAGGTTTTGAGTCCAAAGGCTGAAAAGCTTTCCTGCATTACTCCTAGTAGGTCTGCTGTCATCACTGCGGGACCATTTATGCTACCCAGATGGCTACTGATGTGGAAAATCAGCTTGTTGTGCTTTTGTTATACTATTTAAACACTGTGAGAGGACTTTTTTCTTTAAACATGTTTTACTTTTGTAAATAATAAATAAAATATAAAAGATTAGGGTTAGAATTTAAATTTCTAAAGCAACACAGTTGCTGGTGGCATGCTTTGTTAGCAATGGTTAGAAAAAATCCCACATTTAATTAATTCCCAAGTCCCATATATATAGTCTTTCAGAGGCATTTAACTAAAGGGAAAGTAAGAACGTAAAAACAAGTGATATTTAATATTCTTGAACCTGTATCAATGCTACAGCCATAACATTATTGCTGTAATGCAAAATATTTTAAAAATGCCAAGGGACTCTGAGGGGGAGTTAACAGGCTTAGAGCAGTCTATCATTTGCATTTTATTTCCTTCTCTATCCCAATGAGAGATAAGGATTATTGAAAATACAGTGTACTTACTAGCAATCTCTTATCAAGGTTGGCTTTTCTTAAAGCAGAGGTAACAGAATTGGCATCTTTCTCTGCCATCCATGCTTTAAAAAGCTTTACAGCAAAAGATGCTGCAATCCCTGTTTGAAGAAAAACACAAAACACGCTTCAGCAATTTGCAACATGAATTAGAGATGGTTACAAGAATTACAAGGTTACAAAAATGGTTACAAGAATATGGAATGAAAATACATTTATGGAACGGGACCAAACATCTAGAGCTGAAATGCTCATTTTTTTTTTCTTTAATGTAGTATTAATTTTCTGAAATATGCTAGACTGTTTGAAATCTTTTCATCCTTTCTTGCTCATCTCCATTCATTTGTTCAAAAATTTTCTTTGCAATTATTTTTCCTACCTCCCTAATTTACAGACCAAATCCAATGCAAAAGGAAAAATTATGTGTTAAATCAGGAAACAATGGTACAAGATATCACAGGATATTCAGGAATAAGAACTGAACCCCCCCCATATTTTCAAAGGGCTTTTTAGCAAGTCCTGGAACAGGGTTAAGTAACCTTACAATTTCAAGGTAACTGATTGCACCCCAGCCCCCACAGAGGCATTTAGAAGCTGGTAGGACCAGGCACAAATACTATTTTAAATGGAAAAATTCCTCCTCAAGGCACAACTTAGTATTTTCTGCATTAAATCAAAAGAACTCTACCTACACTAGCAGTAGCTTTCCCAGGGGAGCTAAGAAGCCATTACAACCACACCTCCCGCCTATTTCCCTTCGGCACATGTCTTCAGAGCAGCAACACCATGGCTCTGCTCCGGCTTCTCAGCTGCAGCGGCAAGTGCAGGGAGCTGAAGGAGGGCGCGAGGTCTCGGAGATGAACACCCAGCTCATCCTTGAGGGAGGTTCCCTGTAGGCCAGTTATGCTCCTCCATACTGCACTCGTGTCGGCATTCACAGTGCCACTGAGAGTGGTAATAATGATAATGGTGTACCGTGCTACAGCCAGTCGGTATCATTTTCTGTTTCACTTCCAACCAGTCCTGATTCTCTGAGAGCTAGATGGGACCTACTAGTAGGAAGTGGTTTTATCATTCTTAGACACTTTATATAGAGAAATATCCATTCTTTTTGTTTCTAGGATATGTCAACTAAATGAGTCATCAAACAAGAACAGAAAAAATTATTCCCAAAGCAGTGTAAACTTCATTAACATTCATTACAGATCTTGACTGTTATGACAGCTTTGGAAACCTTATTTCAAGAGCTTAGTCACAAAGCACGATCCTTAGAGAAGTACTACATAGAACCATGGATGCAGAATGCCATGCCAAAAGAGAGAGGCCTACAAATACTAATTTGGGCTTGTTTTACATGTTGTAAAATAGGTTCCAAGTGAAACCCACATGCAGTAATCCTAAGTACCATAGGCTGACTACTCAAACCTGACAAAGCCTTGTCAACAACCAGGGGACTTAGGTGTAACGTCCACCTGTAACTTTCTGAAGCTGTAAACACACTTCTGTGTATCTGATGTGCTCAATACCAACATTAAATGTAATTCTCTGGTCTCTGTCATTAAGCACTGTCCCCAGTACCCACATCCTAAACCCTTATTTAAGCTAAAACTTGGAAAAACCCAAGCTTTATGCCCATATAAGAGGGCAGTTGTTCTAGGGCTTCACAACCCACATATGTTTTCAAGCATAATCCCTGTTTATCATTTCTTTTAAATAGCTCTTCCCTTTTTCTGGGTTTTGGGTTGTTTTTAGGGGGTTTTGTTTGGTTGGTTTTTTTACACCCTATTTGCAGAAAGCAACTTCAGCCATTCATTTTATCAATTAACCCCGTTAGCTGCTCCTTGCATTTGCACTGTTTTTTCAGCAGGGGTGACAAGAAGAGTACACTTAACCCTGATGAGGTTTCACCACTGCCTAGACCTTTCCCCCTGTCTCTGCTAGAAATATGTCACCCATGCCCAAAAGACATCTTTTCCCATCTATACATCACAGTAAAATAGTAACAACACTAAAAAAGAGTAATCCTAGAATGAATTAGGTATTTGCCCTCAAACTTGACAGATCTCCTATTAGCACAATCTATTCTCTCTTCCCTTCAGCTGATTCTTTGCCCAAGTTACAACTGCCATGCTGATCAACAACTCCCTCAGCTAATGTTTTTCCTCAGGTACTTGCAGTATTGTTTTTTGTAAATCAAAGTAAGTTATCAAGTTTATTTCTATATGATCTACCTGTTTTAAGCCTTCATCTTTTACCTGTTTTTCATTTATCTTTGTATCTTTTATTATTCTTCCATAAAAGATCTATTCCAGAACACTAACTTAATCTTTTCCTCCTATGCTGACACAGGTACATTTTTAGTATATATAAACCAAGAACCAAAAGTGTATGTAAGGTCCTGGCAAAAGTTTAGCGATCCTAGAAACATACATTTATAGTGCAAATGGAATTTGTTCTGGGATTTGCACTAACAATTGTATTCTTAAAATGTTAAATTTAAAATATATTAAAAAATCACATGAATTTTAAAAATTCGAGCTTTCAGATGTCTCTTGTTTTCTCATAACCAGGAACAGACTTTGATTTGAAAATATTGCAGGCCATCACCCTAAGACATGGATTAGTGCTGTTGTTTGAATTTTCTCCTAGTTTATTTCTGATTCTGAAAGCTGTGGATGATGACAGAGCAAAGCTGCAGCTGCGGCTTTTCTTTCTGCAGCATTTAGAAAACTCATACAATGGTTAGCATGCTGCAAATGAGAACACCGAGTTAGAGTACTTGGTTTTTTTAAATGTAAGTTAGAGTACATTTTAGCTAATACATAGCTCTAACAAAACCAAAAAGATTTCATGAAAACTGTTCAAAACAGACAGTGCATTTGCAATTATTCCAAGTAGTCAGTAACTGGCAGAGAAAGACACTGTTTGGAAAATTAGGACTCCAAGGTAAATGGCTATAAACAACTAACTAACTAAAGCCCCTAAAAATAAGTCATCTCAAAAAGGCATTATATCCTAAGATTGAAAGAACAGTTACTCATCAGATGGTAAATACAAGTCCACGGGAAAGCGTATCAAACCCTGATCCCTAATGGTATGAAGGCAAAATGAGGGTTTGAATTTATTTTTTCCCCCTCTGCAATATCCAGTTAGCCTGGACATGCTCTCTGTCCCACTTCACACTCACAAGATATTGGCAACACCTGTAAAAATGCTGGTAGGCATATCTCAGGAATAGATGTTATACTTCACACTTTTATAGTGTCAGATAATAGGTATTTTCTACAATCTTGCACACACACATGGAATGTCCAAAGCCATAGATCCTTTGGGGTTTATTTTTGGTTTTGTTGCTTTCTTCCTAATGTTTGACTGCCCTCTTAATAGATTTCACAAAGCATGTTGGCCACTGCTGTCTGTACACACTTCTGCTTTAAAATACTGATTTCTGTTGTCCAGTTACAGGCTTCCAACATATAAAATATGGTGCAATATAATACATCTCTGATTTAAGCTAATGTAAGAAAAAAGATCATATAGAAAATTACCTTCTTTGACTATATTGTCAGTGAAGAGGCTTGTTAAAATTGTAGCAGGAAGAGTCCCATTGGCTAACAGGATGCCAGAAAGCATTGCCAGCTTTGTCTGTTCTGTCTCAGTAAAGGCTTTAAGAAACAGTAGAAGCTGTGGGTCAGACAGTGGGGGGGAGAGAAAGATATATTTGAGCCATATATGCAATGATAACAGGTAGATAGCAAATATTAGCAGTTTAATTTCTTATTTCTCAAAAAGCCCCATGATAATTAATAGCAATCACGTCAAAATCAAGTGCCTTTTCACTAACCGCTTATAATTTCACTTTCCATAAGCACACAAGCACGTGGAATACGGCCTTACTCAGAGAGACAAAGCCTGTTTTCTCCAAATATACGTATATATGGATAAAAATAAAAGTGCTGGTTAAAAGCTTGAGACACACAGAAATTACAGGATCACAGACTTGCTGATTTCAATGGGCTGATAGGAGTCTGCCATTCACATCTTCAGACTTCAGACTACACAGTTGCAGTTCCTTTTCTAGCTTACAAAAACTAATACACACATGAACAATAAAAGGATAAGAAGGTTTCCTGTTTTCCTTTTGGGGAAGGGAACACAGCACAATTACAACAGATTTTCTATTGGCTAAAATAAGAAAAATATTTGAAGTTCAGACATTCTTGATAAAGCTGACAACAGACAGACAGGAACAAAAGCTGCTTTAAGACCTCACCATTCCCACTACTAATTACATGAGGAAACAACTAGCTTGAGAAAAAATTACAAATTTCACCATCTTACGTGCTAGAAGATCTGAATTACATGTTTACCTCTTAAAGCCTAAAAATAACAATTAAGTCTAAATATCTTATTTCCCATGTTCAAACACAGTGAATGACTTGAAAGCATACTGATGAAGTACATTATGCCCTTTTCCTTTACATCAGGTAAAACGTTATTAAAAATGAGATTTTCTAAATAGCATTACTGTTAACAATGATGGTTTTTTAACATATTGTTAGCAATTACAATATGATGGGAAAGAGGGGTAGAGCAAAGGGCAGCTTCATTCATTGCAAAAACCTGCTGACTCCCTCAGAAGCTAGGTTACAAATTTACCACCATCACAAAAAAGGAAAAAATAAAAAAGAGAAAAATATAAAGAGACCACAGGCACCCATCTCTGGAGTTAAAAAGGAATTCTCATTTCCTTCTCCAGCTACCAGTGCTTCATTCAGTTACCTTCTGCTGTTGTAACACCCTTTTTCCTTCTCCAAATGAGCAATAGATGCAATCAAAGCAGAACAGCTCATTCTGATGGAAAATTTCCACCCAGTTTCAAAATTAAGGGTATTTCTTAATAACCAAAACCTACTCATACAAAGGGGCAGAATATCAGACATGTCCCTATGCTTGTTTGTTACCATGGACAGTGAGAGCTATTCTCCAATATATCTAAGCAGCTTATTAACTGTAAAGCCTGCTGAATGCAGTGATATTTTAAAAATCCAGGTAGCTAATGAAGTTAAAGCTCATGCAGTGTTTAATGAATAGCTCTGCTCTGTATCAGTGAACAGAACTGAAAAAAGACTCATTCATATGGTACTTCTTACATAACAACATCAGCTTTAAATTACAGCTTACACAGGCTTGAATGATTCAACCACCGACAAATCATTTTTTTTTTTTTCCCTAGAGGGCTTCAGCCAAATGATTGGAACATGCAGTTTTAGCTTAAATGAAAAACTATGAAACTGTAAAATCTCAAGGTATAATTTTATTTCAACCAACTGTGACTCACAACCAAACAATGTACAAAAATTAAGGATGCAGATGAATGGAATTATTATTTCTAAATATATGGATGAGAAACAATTGGTGTGCTGTATTTCCAAATGCAGCAATTAACTGGTATATATAACGATGCAGGGGAAGGAACTCCAGGGCCACATTTATTGGCAAAACTAAAAACATTTTTACAGAATTTCAATATAAGTCTAGCGTAACATGCCTCCTCTAACATGGAGGCCTGGGGATTTAACGCTTTCTTTACACAAGCTTTATCAACAATACCGTACCAAAATGAGATCTGCAGAAGAAAAAAAATAATCAGAAGTAGACCCTTTGCTCTTTAAGTATTGCACCTGTTAACAAACAGGAAACAGCTTTAGATTTCTGTATAGCTTACTTAATTCTCTTTCCTTCTGCTACCATATAAGCAACAGATGAGTATTTTGATTAGAAAGTGGTCACATGGACTACTTTAACATGACAGACCAGGTTTTGACATACTTCTAAGCTGTAACCTCCATTGGGTTTTGTCAGTAATGAGTAGATCGTGAACAGTAACATCCATTCATGTCAGATTTGAGTCATGAAAGCAACAACAGCAGTAAATCCAGCTGCAAAGTCAGTTATGCACTCCAAGTGGAGAAAGATCCTAAGAGAAGAACATCCAAACATTTATCAACTCCAGTTTTAAGAAAACTGTATTTGTTCAAATGTTTTGGAAGGTCTGAAATGATGCATCTATGAAGTTCAGAGTCTCATCCTCTTCCCTTTTATTTGAAACATGTTTCTTGCAAGTCTCTTGGAATGAATCAGAATTACAGTGTTCTTGAAGCGTACCCCACTGCAGTATATTTTGAGTAGGAATGTGGTGCTCTACACATATCTCGCTGCTTAAAGTACTGCTGGTCCTACCAGCGTAATTGTTGTTTTACTAATATTTTTTAATAAACTTATAGATGTCATTTTCTGCTGTTCAATTATATTATTCTACACTTCAAGCAACTGTGAAACAGCATAATTTAGGGGAAAACTAGGTAATAGGAAGAATCAAAACCTTTAATAAACCCACTTAAAAACTATCAAAAAGAACTAAATGTCCAGTTCTAATCTGCCATTTCAGATTTTTATTGCCGATTACTTTAAGAGCTCTTCTTTTACCATCATGATCACAAACCTCAGCAGGGAAGTCACAAAATGTCCCAGTTACTTCAGAATAGTACCAAGCCACCCACAGAAAGTTCTTCAAGCTGATGCTTCCCTGCTGTTAGCCAAGCACTGTCATTACTCCTTTTGTTACAGATACAGATTGATTCCAGGCATAAAATGCACAATTCTGGCTCACAATTCTGTATTTCTATCATAACTCTAAAAACTCCCACCTATTTAAGTGGGCGTTCAGAATGCCTAATAAGCACAAGACCAGACCTAATGTGCTGTTCCATGCTATTTTTGTCTTTAAAGAAAAAGTCTTTTAAGCACAAATTCTGAGTATAAAAGATAGGCACAAGTAAAGACACACACAACAAGAACTTAGAAGAAAAACAAGTGCTTCTGTTCTCCTCTTGCAATTTGGAAACCTTAATGGAGAAAATTAAGGAATCCTATCCACACAGGGAGTGTGAGGTCTTTTTATATCTTCATTAGCTGAAGTGGTCTATTGCTTTAGCATCTGAGAGTTTGAGCACTGAATTGTCAGCAGCTGAGAAGGCACCTAACATAACAGATAGGACTGATTAATTTAGTTGACTTAGCATCTCTGCTTACTCCCCATTTGATCTCAGAATGTTACTCTCCTTTTATTTCATAACTACCAGCTTGACTTGGGGTTCTTTTCATTAGGAAAACAGAACACAAAGGACCTCATAACATGTCCCCGTACTTCACATGCCCTCATATGACTCATAATATTTACCAGTGTTAAGACCAAAAATACACTTATCTGTACTTTATCCCAAATTTTATAATAAAAACCCTATAGAGAATGCTATGTAAACTTACAAATATAGTACACAGACAGCTAATACTGCATGCTTCATCCACTGACCTGATCAGAAATAGAGATGTGAGAAAGATGAACACAAATTTGGAACTGAGACTTTTACTTAAATCAATGCAAAATGTTGTCATAGGTCTATGCAGGTACACTGGGCAGTGCTCATATGGACTTAAGCTGCCTACATTAAAAACCAGCAGGTGAGCAATGCACTTTAAATCCTGGTCTTCTGTTGAAATTATTTGCACAAAATAATTTAGTTGTAGAAATGTAGATGTACAGTTTGCGTATGTCACTAGAAGAAAAAATAATTTGTAATTCGGGGGGAGAGAATTAAGAATTCAAACATTTGAAAGCTGGAAACAGGCACAAAAGGGAAACGTGCTGGGAAATAATCATGACAAAAAATAAAATGACAAAATTATGAACTCGAAGAAATAAAGCAAATACTTGTATGAATACTGCTGCTAAGACAATTTCTCTTGAAAGAGAAGTCCCACTGACACCGTCTGGTTCTTTAAAGTGAAACTGCTGGTATGGCCTTGGTGGGTGTTTTTTAGCGTGACTTTATTTGAGAAGAGCTTATTTTCCCTCAAGTACACTAGATGCTTAATAAATCTGCCAGAAAAATCACTTTCATTGATAGGACAGTGACCCATGAAACAATATCAAGGAGTTGCTTGCTCTCTTGCTTTTCTAACCGTCATTTAACTGCAGTAGCCTTTGAACCACTAAATCTTGCAGAAACACCTTCTAGAAAACCTTCGCAGCTACTCTCATACACATTACTGCACACAGGTATAAGACAGTTAAAAACTCAGCAGCCTCATCAGTGAGATGACAGCCATGTGATATGTGGGTTCACACAAGCAGGGGGATGGAGAAGGTAAGCAGAAGACAACTACGAATAGTCCTCTAGGGTTCTTAAGTCATGACAGCACAGGTGAGATACAGAGGCCCAAACCTCAACAACCACCTTCCCAATTTCTAATTCTCAGATAAACTGCATTTACTAAGCAATAGGATGTACCTGGCACCCATGCCGGAAGTCCAGGTCCTCAGGAGCCATGCCAAGATTTGCTTCAGCGCCAAGGGTGACAATAGAAGGGCAGATGGAAAAATTACCCCACCCCCCAGCCTAGGATCACTATGCAAACCTAACCTCATGATTTGTCATACAAGATACAATCTGACACTGAAAACTATACAAAAAGCAGGTACATCAAAATGAGATTTGCAGTCTGCAAGGTGAACAAACCCACTCTGACCCCATGCTGCCATGGCTAAAGTTTCCAATAGCTTTAAATAAGTAGCATGGCTCTGCCACACTGTACCCCAAATTATTGTTTTCTCTCAAGGTACTGTGTAGTTAATCATCCCATCAGAGGCAGTTGTTCCTCAGCTGAAGAGTCACATTAACTGTAGTCTTGTCACTGAGTGTAAGAAAGTGAATTCTTAGAAACTTATATGATTCAAAACCAAGCAAGTTACAGGAGAGAGAGGAGGCGGCTTGAATTGACACGGCATTTGCTTAATATGCTGAACACTCTGAAACTTGAATGCTATGAGTCAGCGCTTCTCATGGCAGTGATTATAGTAATTAACAACAAGAACACTAGATTTGTGTGGGGATAGAGGTAAATTTAGTTCTAGAATGATGTACTGAGCAATCAGCACCAGCTAATAGGCATTCTGGCCACAAGCACAAAAATAATTTCCTGTATGAGCAAAAATGTATAAATCAGAGCCAAACTCATTTAGCTACCAGAGGTGGTGGTGAGGCATCACACTCCAGACTTAGCCTCACTTGACCCTTGCAGTAATCGTTCTAATGTTTAAATAATATGGAAACACACTTCTAACAAATATGGCATTTTAGTTACAGGACAGGTTTTGCCATTATCAGCATGCCTATTAACTTACAGCACAGCAATGTTTATTCAGGCCATTAGAGAGAAGAGAGAAGATATTTACATCTGTTACTAGGAACTCAAAACAGACAGAATAGATCTGTATTTTGTTTTTCAAAAATTTCTACCCATGTTTCTCCTGTCTCCTTAGAAGTCAGTATCGCAAAACAGAACAGTATCCACAAATATCCACTACAGTCTAACAGGCAAATCCTAAGCACTCTGCCAGTGGTGATGACTTTTTCTTGCACATATCTATGAACTCGAATACAAAATCTTGTGGTTAGGACTCGTTCCACATTCCACTCATACATCAAGTGACATTCTGCAAAGCAACTTACATTTATCCTATGGAAAAAACATACCACAGAGAAGCTGTTCTATATCAGAGCAGTAATACCTCTTCTCATTGAGAACTACACCCCCCCACCCCCCACCCCAAGCACACTGAAGGTCTGCACAGAAAAACCTGGGATAAGAAGGCAAGCTTGGTCAAAACAACCAAAGGAAGCATTAATTCAGAATTTCTCTACATCAAGCGCTGTCAGAGCTAAATTTGCAGACTACAGCTGCCACCTGTAGATTCCATCCTCTTTTCCAGCAGAGCTAAATAAAATACATAACAGCACAGCAGTTGTACATATGGAATTGCATTAGACAGAGTGAAAAATGGTAATGTTTAAGAGGAGACTGCCACCAACATTACCTTTTTGATTTCATCTTCAAATGCTTTCTCCAGGTATTTGTATCTCCTGATAAGTTTATTGAAGACCTAAATATAAAACACAGATGAACAAAAAAGGCAGATGGAAACATGACTGTCACTGCTCAATCCATAACAGAACAATTTTTTCTTATCTCTACAGCGGGAAAGAAAAAGTAGGAAGCACTACTGGCTTCTCACACTCTAACACTCCACTGCACAGTTTTCCCTTAGACATTGTTTCCAGGAAATAAGCAGCTAGCAGAATTATATTTCTGCAGTCATCTGTTCTGTTGTTATCTGTGTCTCATGGCAGACCATGAAATGTGAGCACACTAGTAGAGAAGGACAAGTGGAAAGATACAAGTTTTGCAACTCCTGCTTTATAGCGCGATGTTTGAATCTGAGAATTTACTGCAGTTTGAGCCTTCCATACTTCTCAAAATGTTATTCCTACTCTACTTCACACCCTATCCATGGATCAACAGCAGGGGAAAGGAGATTAACTCTGCACCCTTCCCCTGGTAACACAGCTCTCTAGGGACACTGCCAGGTATAAGGTGATGGAGCAAGGAAGTCAGGTAGCACTGCTGGGCATCTTCAGCAGATGCAGGATCTCTGTCAAACCCACCAAGATGAGTGCTTACAGCAGAACACACTACTGCCTGGGAAAGAGGAAGAACGTTTGACAAAGCTTTCAGGACAGGCATGCTCCTGGAAACACTTTTTCTCCGGTTTTCAGCATTTGTTGCCCATCATGTGATAACAGATTATGAAAGCAGAAGCAGCACAGGTGCAGGGTGCATTCAGATGGAAGAAGGGAGAGATAAGGAATCAAATAAACAAAGCACTGCTCTCAGGACTGTGCAAAGGGCACAAAGCATATGACTGTCACAGGTTAAAAGGTTTATACGGGGAACAAATTACATTGTTGTCAGGCTGAATGGGGGTGGGGGGAACAAATTAAGTTTTGAAAGTTTCAGTTCACTTTTCAGGGAATAAAATACATCTAAACATGCTAAATAGTAGTGTTTCAGTTCAGAACAACTGATAATCAAGTTGTGGCCATGCTGAGAGACAGACACAAGCTAGCTTCTTGTTTGTATTTACAAACAAAACTCTATATTTTTCCAAGTCCCTGTAAGTGACAGAAGTACACTTCATAAGCAAATAATCCATTAAAATATCAACACTCTTTGAATTGCATCCATGACTAAAACCACTAAAAACAGCCACAGTACTGGTTCATCTGGGAGTCTGAGTAAGAAATTACCTAGAAGATAAGGTAATCACTTAAGTTAGGCTAAATTCACTATTTTAGCCTAACTCCACTTTTTCATAATACAATAAGAGCTCTATTTCCCTTTGTGCATGAAAAAAACTGATGAGGTCTATAAAAGGATACATCTGTTCAGGCATTAACTACAAAATGTTGACTTATTTTGGTGACTTTTGGTTTGAAATGCAGAGAATATGTTAAAAATTCCACTGCTTCAAGTCCTGAAGCCTTCCTTTCCATTTTCCAACATGCAATCTTTTATTTTAAAGTTAAATTTCTCCTTGGAGGACTGGTACTGTCAATTCTTATGATGAAATAGTGAAAATATTAAAATTCAAGAAGACAAATTGGTTAATGCCTTTACCAATACAGATTTTCCTGAAGTAGAATACCCTGTTTTTAAGGGATGATAAAGCTGATACAAAGATATAGACTCCCTTCCCAGAAATAAGTATATTTCATTTCTTCAGATTATCAAAGATGTGCTTTAGAAGAGGCTTTCTGCTATTTAGCAAACATTCGTTACCAATGCAGATTCTGATCCCAGCACCCTCTAAATCAATCATGCACCTTTTCAGCAACTTACCACCCTCAACACCTTAGGAGGGACAGTGGCTTTTATGCTTTCAATTACTGTCACCAGCACCCCAATAATAACTAGTTATTTTAAAAGATATATATGTTACTTAAGTAACAATAGACTTTTGACATGTGGGAGTTTCAAAGCTATTGCATTTTTATGCAATCCTACTTGTATCCAGAATTGCATGGAAGCTTTGAACTTTGAATAGAGTTCTTAGTGCATTTTCTCATATAATTATTATCTTCCATTAAGGAGTTACGCAATGTTAGCTTCTCTTCAAAAATGTTTTAGGCTTCATTGCTTTTTTGTATTAATTTCACATAGGCCTATTTGTGCCAGCCTTACTCCTGCAAAAAGAAATTCCATATCGCACATTAGGAGAAATGAAAGCTCTTGGAATATATGCCCCATTCCTAACTAGTTATGCAACCAAAGGTTGGAGGCGTGAGCTTTATATTTATTTGTCATTCATTTACTTCATGTGTTTCTAAAAATATGTTCATAGAAATCTTTCATGCTGCATACAGAAAAGGTCAACAAAAATAATAAGGATGGCATCTAAAAATATACTGAACCAACAGCAGACTGAAGTAAGAAAGACTGCTTTCTGTAAAAGAAAGTGTTGCTAGCTGTGATCATATTACCTTAGACATCCTATTTTCTTACCTAAAATTTAAAGGTTATGGCAGATCACTGGTTAACTGGATTTTTGATTTCCCTGTAACTAGCCTACTACAGCCTAGACAGCCTGCAGATGTTCCACTGTAATCCTTCTGATGCATAAATGGACAACAGTCAACCACCACACCTCTACTGACCTGAGCATAATTTCGGATGGCATCATGATCTTCGTCTGCAAAAAATACACAGTGGTTGGTCATCTTGGTCTTGTCGTTGTCATCTATGCGTGTGCCTCCAGGAGCTAAAAGAAAGTGGGGGAAAAAAAAAAAGGCAAGAAACAATTTCTCACTTTAGAGAATGCTTTATAATACTAAGATTTCAGAAGTCTAATCAGTCTTATGTTAGTATCCGTGAGGCAAAAGGCAAGGGTAAGAGCTAGCTGGGGAGAGAGGGGAACACAGAGACTGAGATTTGCAAGGCTGTGGTGGCACCTGACAGAAGGGACAGCTGGCCAATATGCTGCACCTCAGATCACAGAGACCTCACAGGACTAGGAGATTCAGAACACACTAAGGAATCTTAGCTGGTTTTGAGAGCACTGAGAATGATCAAATAAGTATGGGTGGAGCATAACCCTTGCATATATTTTAACTACTACTTGAAACTCCACATTAATGTAAATCCTTTCTGAAATGTATTAGCACACTGTTACTAGTTTGAGGACTCGGAACATCCTTCTAACCCTTATAATGCTTACCAGGCTCACATAAACATTCCAACTTCTACTTATTCTGTTGAGAGCTTTTTTCCTAGGCATTTCCACCAGCTTTTGTTTCTTGCATTACCTCATGTCTTTCAAAAGCATCTTTTCTTCTTACACACCAAAGAGCAGGAAGCAGGAATCAAACCAACATGACCAGTAAAAAGAGTCAACTTGTTCAAAATATAGAGAAAGGTGAAAGGAAAGGCACGTTTTTGCCTAAGCTGCCACTGATACCTGGGAGAAATGCCCCATGAACATCCACATAGCATTCCTCATTATCCTTCACTTCTCTTAGCTACCCTTTGTTGCAACTTCTACAAAGCAAGCCTTGCAGCAGCTAAAAACCTGAAGTATTGTATTACACCTTTTTATGCTAATAAATTCCTCTGCTTCCCCTAGTTAGAGTCTCACTTTCTTTGCTGCATTTATATGCTGTTTCAACTCAGACTGAAGGCTTTCCAGAGCAGTGTCCATTTGTTGTGGTATTTGCAGAAAGCCTCACACAATCAAGTCCCTAAGTACTACTGCACTACAAACAGTAAACAATGCTATGATATGAGACACAAGAAGTATTTAGATAAGTGAAATTTTAATACAGTTTACAATTTCCACTTTGTAAAGGAAAACAGCATCTGAAAAGAAACAAGGCTGATCATCACAATTCTTTATCAGGTACACTGCAGGTTACCTAGCATGCTGCCAGCTACCAAAATATCAAAGAGCGTGTCGGCATAGCGGCGATAATCAAGTCGTGAGCCAGCTGCATCCAGAAACTTGGCTATAGCCTCCAGGTCACTCCCAGCTTCATTGAGGCCTTGCACAATCGTATCCCTGAAGACTGTGGGTTCAAATTTCTCCTTTTCATCTGGAACAGAGGTAAAGGAGAAAGAAAAGGAGAGAGAGTCAGTTTTTAAACTTTCTGTTAAAATCTTGTATCAGCCAGCAATTGAAATGACCATGGAACCTAAACATATTCTTCCCATTCTGGTCAACACACCAAAAGTTTGTTTGGCTTTTATTACCTCTGGAAATTTTGAAGTGTTTACCCTCACTTCCCTCTCTTCTTCATCCCCCCTTCAGTACCAAAACACACACAAACATATGGGAATAAATAAATAAAGGGGAGGAAAAGCAACTATTGAAACTGTTTTCAAATTTCATACTCTTCCTTCTCTTAATGTGTGTATCGTTATGCATTGCTAAATCTGACAGCAGAATAAAGTGAATGTCAGTTATGTGTACATAATCTCACTGTAGGAACACTCCATTTTTCATGTCTTGATATTTTTCTTTGAATAACTCCGGTTGCATATCTAAAATGTTTTCAAAAGACAAGTCTTCAGGAAAATAAGAGACCAAGGTATTCATAAAAATAGTTTTTCTGTAAACATTTAGGACCAGGCACTACAGTGTAAACAAGAATTTATCTTTCATATTCACAGACCTAAGCAGCACTAGGAAGACTCACATACAGCGCTCACATTGCATTTTCTACAGCTGTCCCTGGTTAAACTAGGTTAAGGTACAGCCTGACCCCCAGACAACATCCCTGTGTCAAGGCCATTAGCCACAACCTCCAGATAAAGCTAGGTAGATTTACCCAGACCTCCACCTGCTTTTTCTTACAGGCTGTTCACAGCTTACCAGACACTTGAAGCTTCTTAACAAAACAAGTCCCAGCTTTATGTAAGGACACACACAATATGCTTGTCACCATCAAAATAACTCTGAACTTCAGAAGCAGAGCAGTGATTTGTTCTGTGACACTCAAAAACCAAAACTAGTTTGTTATCACCTGCTAACGCAAATGCTGATACAAGTTCTTAGAAAAACCTGCACATATTATATCCGGATGATAAATCCAGAGATTTTTAGCTACTAAGACAAATTAGGAATGGTAAAATTCCTGTCTAAACATGTGCTAATGCACTCTGAAATGTGCCATCTGCAACCCTCCCAGGCTTTTTGGGAGAAGCAGATCTGGACATTACACATCATCTGGCCATAGGTTTCCTTTCCCTGCGGCTCACAGTGCAGCTTTTTATCCCAAACATTAACCAAAAGCAACCCCCAAAAGACCTTGTTTTCTGATAGCCTTTCTTTCCTCCTCACACAATAGCCTTAAGGCCATTAAATAACAAGTTTACACACAATGACTCCTTTTATCAGCTTTACACAGTTTCTAGTATAGAAACGTTTCTCTCTCTTGTTCCCCTGCATGTGCTTAGAGTGCACTATTCTACCATCTTCAGGGTATCACTTGCCCCTTCTACCCCTCTTCCAATGCATTCCTTACCCCATAACAACTGTATCTAGAAAGCACAAGCAGTCCCTCCCACTCAAGTGTCCCAGGCCACTGGGAAGCTCAGTGGACCAGCCAACTGGTGATTCCAAGGAGCCTGGCGGCATGCAGCCAACAGCAGCTCCAGGGATGACTGTCAAGCTCCCTGGAAAAATGAAGCATCACCTGATCTTCCAGAAATTCCATGCTATGCCTAACTTTTAGTGGCTTGACTCTTAGCTATCTCCAAGTGACTTGCTGCCCCAGCCCCTGAAGCTGACCTCCTCAGACCAAAGCTGGGGATTACTCAACAACATGGGACACCCACATGCACACTCAGGAAACCAACCGTTCCCAACCCCAGCTCGTCCTGAAGCGATGCACACACACACACAGTGCCAACCTAGCTTCTCCCCTATCACACTCTCATCATCCAATAAACTATGGAGTAAGCCCCTTCTCTGGGCTGCAAGTGACTTCTTCCTGTGTTTTTACTTCACCCCAGACCTTGGAGATATTTATGCTCTCAGTCATTCAGCTGGGATGAAGATCTGGAGTGTGCCCTTTGAGTAACCACCTCTCACACCTGCAGGGCAAGCCCATGGCAGACAAACCAGAGAGGGTCAAGTGGGGGAACTGACGAACAAGCTCTGGGAAATGCCTACAGGGAAGCACACTACTGGAATCCCATCTGAGATATCACACCCATTACCAAATAATCAGTTGCAACTCTCTTCAAACTTTAAATACTAAAACAACCCAAAACAAGCAACAAACCGATCAACCCACATACAAACAAGTTTTTACTGAAGTATGTGCACTTCAGGCAGTTTTATTTGCACACCAGAAAGACAGCTCCACCCATAAACAAGTATCCAAGTATAATTATTCTCTTTTGGGTTACCAAATAAGCACGTATTATTTGCAGGATAAAACCAAAATGCTTGATGACTCATTAGCTAGTAAGAAGACAGAGTTCTGTCTTAAGAGTTTAAAAAAAAAAAAAATCCTATTTTACTTTTTCAACTATATTTTGTTTAAGAATTTAAGATGTTCATGTCTAAACTGAGAAGTGTTATATGCTTGGTGCCATGGGTACACAGTGCTTTGTACAAATACAAACACCATGATTTACATTTCTTAGCTATTTTAAACAGATTCTTCTCCTGTCCCAGAAGTTCTGCTCTCATCTGGAGTACCCTACTATTTACTTGACTATCACAATCTAAAGATTTACCCAGGAAGAGGAGGTAAACTCATTGCATGAAAAATGATTTATAATTTTGTTGAAACATTTTGCTACCAAGCTAATGTACTGAAGAGGAAATGCTGATGTGATACAACTATAACAGGGTGAGTAAGAAGCCATCATCAAGAAGCGGTGACAGTATGTTGAGCTGTCAAGTACATAATTACTAAACAAGCACAGTTTCAATCAAGGGCTAGCGGAGGCAGGTGTAGCTTGCAGATGTGATGCATACAATATATGTATTGCTATACATAAGTGCTATACACAGCTTTTCATTTTCAGCATGTTCCCAGATCCTTATTTTCTTTCTTTTGCTTCTAAGAAAATCACAAAGTCCATTTATACATCCTTCCTTAAGAATTAACTTTAACTGTCCAACAGAAGGCCCACAACTGTCTTTTTGTGGAAGAAATACGACATGCCCTGTTCGGCCCCTGCTCTGACTTCATGTTAACCTATAGGCATTTTTACCTTTTTACTGAACAGTTTTCTTCCTGAAAGAAAGCAATATGCACTGTTCTGCTTAGCTCCTCTTTATGCTGCCATTTGCCTTTTTGCATCATTTTTTTAGCAGATACTAACTATATGTTATCCATACCGTGGAAACAAACTTGGGGCTCAGGTATTGCCTGTCAGTTTACTTTAAACAATATGCACTGTTTGTTCCTGTTAACGCTTCGGGAAGCTTTTGTCCTACAAGTATTTGTCAACTGTCTGGATACATAAATTTTCCTTATTTTCTACTGGTATTTCTGCTACGCCTATTTCTTCCACTTCACAAGGCAGAAAGTATCAATTTTCATGTGTGCAAGTACAACGCAGTCAGTGCAAGCCATATCCCACGTATCTGCACCATAAGCACAAATCCTGGCCAGATGCTAACTACTGCTGACCTTTACCAAAATGCAGTATTCAGCATATACAGAGATTATATTAAAAAATGAACCCATTTTCTTTACCCGGATTGTTAAAAACTTTACATGGAACTATGAGATGCCTCCTTCCCCTGGAAGGTTCATCCCTCTACAACATCATTTTTCTTCATTCAAATCTTTTTAAAGCAATTTTATTGCCTGCCATTATATATGCTGGAGACAAAGTTTATGCCTTTTATTGAATCAACTAATAGAGGTGGAGGGAGTGAGATTTACAAGCTCCTCCTTCATAGTCCTCTCTCAGTATTTTAGACACTAGGCAGACTTTCAAACTTTAAAGAAAAAAAATTTAGCATCTTCTTCCTTTTCTGCTCTCTGAAAGCTCAAAAATTGTTCACGTTCGGAGACCAGTTACAGCTAGCTGACCAGTAAGAGTTCATATAGACAATTATTTTTATTAGACAGCTCACTGCTATGCCACACCTTCCTGTCCCCTCAGATGATAGCGCTCCTGGGAGCTGCATTAGGGGAAAGAGAATCATGAGACACAAATCAACCAGTAAGTTGGAATCAGTCATCTCTCAAGACAGCTCGCTCACTCCAGCATTTCTGCATTTCAAACCCCTCTGCTTGCCTGGTACGCACAACAGAATAGTTTCTGAAAACTGAAATGCCACAGCCAAACCACAACCACTGCGCACTCTCCTACCTGGGTGAAATTTCATGACCCCCTCACACACTGGAAGTCAGGATGTAAAAATAAAAAAAACCTAGTAGTATCCTCTAGTCTAAGTGCAAGACACAGCAGTCTGTGACACTGCTATGACAGAAAAAGAAAGTGTATATACACCCAGAAGGGAACAAACATGCTAGGAAGCCATTTCTCTTCCTCAAGCCCCCTGCCTCCAGAAAGATAATAGGTATCCATCCACACTATTTTCTAAGCAGGATCCTCATATACTAAGGCAACAAGAATACCACCATTTTTGAAGGAAATTTTATGTTTTAAGCACATAAAGAAGTGTTTGCATGTTAATATTTCTATATTAAAGCCATTTAATAACCCTGATCCCATTTAAATAATCTCTCAAAAAACCCCAAAGATCCACACCCCCCAAGTCTTTTCCACCTAGTCAATGAGTATCTAGTGTCACTTCCAATCACTGTAACAGCAACTCAAGAGATAGGCACAGAATTACACATACAAGCTCTTTATTTATTGTAATTATTACTTGTACTAAATAGGAATCAAAGACCAAACCTGTACTAGGACCCACTATACCAAATACATTGGAAAACATGGACTGAAAAGGAAGTCATGATGAGAGAGAATGTTCTAATATCGTTTTAGCAAATAACACATGTACCATAACTGACAGACCTAGACTGAATAATGGATTGGATCAGTCCAGCAGTATGTGTATCTGATTGCTTTTACTGGTTGATCTGACGGAGGTATTTCTTTAGGGATCATTAATTACACTGCTCTAGCTACATCTCTGCTGTTGCTAGTTATTGCAGTCTATTGCACAATGTTCTGGACCATGCTCGTAGAAAATCCCACTAATTAATGCAGCATCATGGCATTTAATTACAAACAATACAGTTTTCTTGTTTTAATTAGCTACACCTACGAATGCTGCACATGCATCATGACATTTTAAATTTAAGAGACCGCACTGGTCAAAGTAACAGAGAAAGCAATGCATGCAAGGAAGGAAAGATGAGAGAAAGCTGGCACCGCTTTTTAACATGACTGAAAACAAACTGGTTTGGAATTCCCATCCAAGCTTTGTGACCATCCTAAATCTTACACAACTCAGCTCTTCAGACTCATGATAGAATTTGTAATTACCTGAGAAAGGTTGCAAACTCATTTTGTTTCTCTCATCCATGCTGAGAAACTGCTCTTATTTACATTTTATGGCACAAGTAGTTAAGACCGGCTGTTAGCATTTGATCAGAAACAGGAAAGTCAAGATGGAAAAAGTCTGTTGCGGGACAGATAGGAACCACACCTGTGTGTGCTCTAACAATCTGCTATTGCAACAGCAAAATATCAAAGCCTTCTTTTCACAAATCAGACAATCTTTTATTATACTTCTTTTTGCTCTCTGCCCCAAAGTGTTGGGAATTCATCTCAGACACCTACATCATGTCAAATGAACTCTGAGTACAGTATAAGCAAGCATGCTAGGATGACACTCGCTGTACAGAATACCTAGATGATCAGTACAATTAGCACCACTTAGCTTTTTTTAAAAAAATGATGCAATATTGTACATAAAGAGAGTGTTTGTCATCTTTACAGAAAATCAGTATCACAGTGAGTAAAAGGAACTTACGCAATGGTAATTGTTTTATTTTAACAATAAAAAACCCAAACAACACTAATATATCAGAAATATTTGTGAAAAATGAGCTTTCTGACTTCTGTTGCTATATATAAACAGGGCTAAGGAGAAGATCTGACCATCTCATGGAGAAGGAAGGTGAGAACATTTCCTTTTTACATGTGAAAGGTTCATTTATAGAGATGGCATTGACTTGAGTCAAAGAAATATAAACAAAAACTTAAAAAAAAAGCAGACAATTGTCTTTATGTAACCTTTACATAATAGCTCATATTCTGCTTTCTTAGTTGAAAGAGACATTTTAAGAAACACTTGAATTAAACATCTAACAAGTTTTATTCCTTGTATGTAAGTATACTATAAACGGAGTTAAAGTAATTTTTAACTGAGGTTTCAGTTTAAAATTTATTCAGCTTAACAGCTAATAATCCTAAATTTTATAGAAAGTCCTAAAATACATAAAGTAAATAAAATTCGTAGAAGTTAATTAAAAGTAACATCTGCACTTTGAATATCGCTTCAGAGAAGGGGAGAAAAACCTTAATCCTATTGGATTTTCAATTATTCCACCTGCCGTGTTTCTACTATTTTAACAAAGAGAAAAATAAAGTAAAAAGTGTAACATAACCTACCCCTCTTCCTAGTTTTGAACCGCTGGCCTGTTAGCACTGGCTTCTGATTCTTATTCATAAAATTTCTGGAGGAAAAAAAAAAAGGAGAAAATAAATTTTAACTACAGCATTTACAGACAACAGTTTAACCTAAAGGCAAAATAAACATTCAGTGTAGTAAAATCCCAACATGTGAAAAAGTTCTTTATACTCAAAAAATAATTCATATTATCTTAAAGATGAAGAGCACTATGATCCAAGAATAACTTTGACGAGATGTGCTTCTCTCGAAACCTGGCTCTTGGCATCCCTGTAAAAGACCCTGAAGATTCAAACCTGGGCAGGAAGGTGATGGAGCCTCTGCCCTTCCTGCTGGGGCAGGGGTCCAGCAGCACGGCCCACACAGCTCACGTGGGTGCTTGAGGGCACAGAAGCCACTGGGACACAGGACCGGAAACCATCCTGATGGGGCTGGAAACAGCACTGGTCTCGCCCTGCAGCATGTTCACCAGGCGGACTAACTCCCAGGGCTACACACCATACTGCTGGGGACATGACTGCAGTCTAACCACCATGTTTTAACCATCAAATCCCACACAAATGTTTCTTCCAAGCATCATTGTATCTTAATAACTTCTAGTTCCTAAAAACATGTAGGTGTTGTAAAAATAATAAAAGATAACCAAATCCCTGCCCCCATGAATTTCGAGTATAAATACAAAGTTAAGGACCTCCATGGCACATCATATAACAACAGCAGTAAACAACACCGAGCTTATATTACTTCAGACCTTAATGGCAAATCTCAACATGCAACGTTAAATAATTTGGAAGTGATCATATGTTAATGCCATTTTATCTAAAGAAAACAAAACTGGTTTTCAGCATTGGATATAATTAGCTTAATCACACGAGACACAGCTTGTGCAATGAGCACCCAAACCGACAGCTGAATGCAAACAGCAGCACCTAAGAGGAAGATTTGCAGCACGTGGCAATCGTCATGGGTCATCCCCCTGTCCTGCCAACAGCAAGTGCCAGTGCTGGGACTTAGAGGACACCTATTTCATACCCTGCAGGTCATTAGGCCACCGTCACATGTGATTTGCTTGTCCAGGATTAACCCTTACCATGTAAGAAGCTTTGTCCTTTGGGCACATTCTTCAAGTAACTTTAGTTTTGCAAAAACTTGTGTTATTTGTATTGCTTGACTGTGGACTCCCCAAGTCTGGTTTAAAAGTACATACATTTGCCAACACTTCCTAGCATGAGCAAAAGAGAAACTCAAGCTCTGTGGCTAGGAAGATGCCAATCACACGTTACTATCCAAGTTAATGCTCTCTACCCCTGACAGTTCTTTTAACAACTGTTAACAATGCTGCATTTATACAGCATGTTCCCATTCACCAGACTACCTCTTCTCATTGCAGCATCACCAGCTGGCCACTTCCGCAGCATTTCAAATGTTTAACTTGGAAAACCACTGCTTTCTAGTCCAGGTCTACTGTTTACGTGCAGTCAGAATCTGCCTGCGCACACTGGAAATAGCCAGTAAAGTTCAGAGTCAAAACTGGTTTTGCTTCCCATAAGTCATAAACATAAGATGCAACAAGCAGTTAAAATGAGAGGTTTACATTCATCACTGAGGTTTAAAGCTACAGTTTTAACAGACCAAGGTGCATTTTTAAAACAACTACAACATGAAATAGCCTTCTGGAAAAATTATTTGCCCATCTGCAAGGACAGTTAAAAATGGCAAACCATAACATCACAGATCTTTTAAAACACTGTAGGATCCAAGCCTCCCTTCCAGGCAGATCTCAAAAGTCTCTTTCCCCGACTTAGCTGAGATGGCAGAGGAACAGGAGGTGCTTTACAGGTTAATTAAACAGATAATCTAGCAATCAACAGGGATAAGCAACAGCCCAGCCTCTAGCCAGTGACCAGCCAGATTTTACATATTTATCTGGTTTGTCTTTCTGACCTTCAGTTATTTTTAAGAGACTGATCAACAAAATATAATGTTCATCCAGGTATTTCTGATTGTTTGTATGCTTGGCTCTGACACCTTACCCCTTGTTCTGAGTCTAAAACTCATCCATTTCAATAGACTGCAGAAGGAGCCCACGAGGTTCGAAAAGACGGTGTCAAGCAAGTCACACAGCAAGTAGGAATTAATCCTCTAAGGTGTCCCTACCCATGGCAGGGGGGTTGGAACTAGATGATCTTTAAGGTCCCTTCCAACCCAAACCATTCCATGATTCTCTTTGTTACAGCTCTTACAGAGCACAAACCTGCTGTCGGGCTGGGATCGACACTACTAATTTCCTTAATTAATTCCTTCAGGGCAGTGAAATGACACCTAACCTGCAACCCAGCCACACTGGTACAGTTCCCCAGTTGCTAGAAGAGATATAAATGCACATGCTAGATTTCTAGCACTCAACTTCGCCTTTCCTTTGATGCAGTGCCTTTTTAAACTGTGAGGAGTTGCACGTATCTGAAGCTTGACTATCTGATTTTAAAACTGTTCCCTGTGAATATAAAATATGTCCTTTAAGACAGCTGGGAACAAGATTTTTAAAAAGGCAGTTAAAGTAAGATTCACCATTTGTGGGAGATTTAATGACTAGAGGTTCATTAAAGAATGCAACCGAAGCGACTCTTGAATAGTTAATTACTAGGAACACAGGATCTGCCTTCTTCTATATTTAGCTTTAAATGCACTGCGCTCTAATCTGCTGGAGCAAGGGTCAGGCTTTATAAGGTTCTCCCTCAAGCACTGGCCCAGGGAAAGCACAGGCACTTTCAAGAAACTGCAGTACAAGCCTGAGCAAAACCAACCCAGTGATCTACACAACAGCCCAGGGTGTATCTGTACTGCAAATGACAGCAGGTGCTGCAAATGAGATTTTAAATTGCTGTTTCTACCACAACCGGTGCCTGGATGATAGCTGAAAATTTACAAAAGTGAATGCAATGCAAAAACTGGATTTTTTTTTTTTTTTAAATCAAGAGCACACCAACAACAGCACAGAAGTCATGGCTGAAGGCTGTAAATTCAGGGTGGCAGCACATATACTTGCACAGTACATTTGATTGCATTGCAGTGCAGCCTGCCTCTCAGGTGTCATGTAGCTATAAAGCCTTGTAATCATGAAAGACCTTGCGCTATTGCATATATTCTCCATTTTGAAAGGTATAGGATCTGAGTAGGTCAAAGTCATTTTGAAATGCCAGCCAGAGAAGTTATAATGGTTTCAGAGGAGTAAAGATCTTAAAGACAGGTATGTGTAGGAAGGAAATAGCCTCCAAAAAAAACCCTCCAAACTACTAAACTCACATCTTACAGCCCAGCATCCTCCAAGACTCATATGAATTGCCAGCAGGAAAGAGAGCAAGAGATGTGGAAATGACAGCTGCTTCTTAGCACAGTTCTCTCATGGACTCCACTCTACTACAGAAGATGGAGGAGGCTCAGCAATAGATACTTTACTCTTGATTCTCACTTTAGGATCCAAAAAACCTCTTGTAAAAACTCAGGTTTTCAAATTCCATACCCAAATACTTTTTATTTCATGAACAGGTAAGTCAGAATCTGGGCTGACTCAAGTGGGGGATGACAGAGCAGTACAGAACCAGGCACCACACTGCAGAACGGGCTCATTTTCCATACAAACCTCAAAATGTCTAAGCCTACTGACAACTAACTTGCACCTACAAAACTCAACAGAAAAAAAATAAAGCATGACAAAACAGTTTCCCAAATTCAACTCCCACTCTTGTTAAGAGGCTTCTACAAAACAGATTCATACTTAAAAAACATGTAAGTTGTTGAATTGATATATTCTCCTCAAACTGCTTGAAGTCCACAAGTTCAGCTTTCACTATAGCTGCTTCCCATTTACATGCTGAAGACCTTAAACAGTTAAATTGAGGGACATCTACAGCTATAGATATCAAGACATATATGATGTAGCAGTTTCTCTAAGTGACCAATTCTTCTCACACAGCTAATAAAATTGTAACAATTAATAAAACCAGCATTAATGAATAAAATTAATTTATAAAACCAGCAACAGATGAAATAGAAGTTACTTCAGAGCTTCAGCAGTCCCGAACTTGCTCAGCAGGTTATAAAAAATGCAGTCTTTTATTCATGCCACAGGGAAATTCTTATGATTATTAACTCCTAAATTACTGAAAGCCTTGATAAGGCTGAAGCTTCTATCAAGCTGAAATACTGAAAACATTTGTCCCTGGACAGATATTGCTCAAATTGAGGGAAAAAAAAAAAATTGGAAACCTTTATTCAAACCAATACTATTTTTCTAAGCATCATTTTACACTTCAAACTGAAATCCCAGAATCATCCGAGATTCTTCTAACAAGAACACGCTCACGATGAATTTGAGAACAGTTGCTTCACAGCAGCGAAACTTCGCTGCCCTAGTTACAGAGAAGGAAATCAATGCCAGACAACATCAAAAAAAGAACAACCGTTTAATAAAACTCCCTACCAAGATATGACAACTCTACATACATGGCATTATAACAACGGCGAGGGAGCCCACAGGTGCAGGCAGTGACCCTTTGGGCAGCCCACCAGTGGGCTCCAGTGTCACCGCTCCATGGGATGCTGACGCAGGGACTCGCGCCGATGGTGTCTAATTGACAGGGTACTGGAGAGAGCTGCCAGAGCACCACCAACACAGCACCACCAACTTTCACATGAACAGATGCTTGGCAGGAATTATTTCCATCCTGTTCCCTTGCTCAGATATCATATAAGACATTCATCACAAAGTCAAATCAGGAACATTCATCACAAAGTCAAATAAAATAGAAGCATAGATGGGAGAGTTTCTGTAAAACCCCAACTCATATATCAAGGTCAATCTTTTTCGCCCCAAGAAGTGGAGTACCCAGGGCATTAAGAGGCCTTATTGGGTCTTTTTCATCCAGCAATGTTACCAGGCATTTTCACCCTTTCATTGTTAAAGTTTCAGACCTAGGAATAAAAACCCAGAGGACTTTCCTCTTCTTTCATCAACAAGCCAAGGAGTTAGTCAAAAGCAAATTACCAA